CTTCCCCTTCCAAATAAAATATCGCTATAAACAGTAACACAGTCTAATACACTGACCTCATGGTATGTCTACATGTTTATCAGCTGATAAATATCGACACTAATTGGTGTGAATTGTTGAATGTGCACTGGATAATTGGTCTTTATATTCAATATGAAACAATAACCTGCGGCATCTTAAGATTATCGCCAATCATATCAACAGCTTGGTTATGAAATGGACGACTTTACGGTAAGTTTGCATTCATATAATTTTATTGTTGTTAAAAGATCAAAGGAATTATGAGTTATAGAATAGAAGTTGTTTTTTTTTAATTGCAAATTAAATCTGACCTAATAATGGCTCCAAAAAAGCATAAATTTGACAAGGAGTATATTTGACAATTAGTATTCCTGAAAAAAAATTGACCTTACTTTGTACATATATCCTCTATCTGGAGCATTCATTTACAAATGGCATACATGGCTGTGAAATGTTTATGGAAAATTCAAGAAGCATACAACATATTTTTAGGAAACTTATGCTAATTACTTTACTCTTATAATGAATAGTTGGCATTTTTCCCCCTGAATTATGTTTAGTTTAGAACTTTTCAATATAATCTTTTCTTCATTAATAATTATTCTTTTTACCTCAAATGTTTCAGATACAGAATCACATAGCCCTCAAACCAAATCTTTGGCATTAACCAAGCAAGCAGAAGCAGCCCATTGGAATGTGGTTCTGATGTCACTGTCATGCCACTAACTTAGATTTTATGAAAACATTGCTGACCAAATTAGCCTGGAAAATGTTATTCTTATAGCTACTGAGCTGCAAGCTTTTATGATCAGTTTTAAAGTGATTAAAATGTAGCTACCTAAATAAAGTTGGATATACATGTAGTTTATGTTTTTTTCTAAATATCTCATGCCTTTTTAAGGTGTTTCATATATGAACTAATGCTATAAATAAGTCTGACAATTGAATTCTGGTTATTTTGCAGTACCATTTGCCTTCTTGAAAATAAAATACAGGCACGCAATTTTCGCCGCGAAAAATTGGCTCAAAGAAAAAATCTGCCAGTGCTAGCCCTGAGGTAGAGTGGAGGGTAAATGACTGCTTTGCAAATGACTGTTGTATTACTAGGTAATGTATAACTAAATAATGCCACCCAAGGTACAACCAATGATTTTAAGAGACATCCAAATAACTTTAAAAAAAATTCTATATTCGGTGCATGACATTTTTCATTGTTATTTATGCTTTGAAATGATCACATCGAATTTCCCTTTTCTTGCACAAATTGTGCAATTGACAATACGGCACAAACATATGGCAGAAGAAAACAATAGGTACCTTGTGAAGATTATATCCTGATTCAAATATAATAGGTGGCAACAAAACAATGAAGAATATAGTTGGTGGAAACGCCTCTTCTTTCTGAAATACATGTACATGAATAATTATGATCATCAAATAAAATTAAAAATCCTGTAACACAATTTTTTCATGATTTTATTTAATAAATATGATGCTCAAATTAAGATTTGTCAATATTGTAAGTTCAAATAAGCATTATTTATAAAGATATTATCCAATTTAACATTTCATGTAAATAAAGGGAGGTAATTAGAAATTTATTTTCTATAAATTCTAAGTCAAATTTTCCAATAAGAAATAATAGCATGTAATCTATTAATTAAATATAATGTGCACAAATATTTGCAGTACACATTTTACATATTCTTTGATGTTTGAAAATTGATTTATTTGCATATTTATATACATATATAATTTTTTGCAAGTGTGGTATACACACAGTAACAATATCAATCACAAAACATACAGGATCTTTAAATATAATCCATTAGTCAAGACAGAAACAGGCATGTAACTGAGAAAATAAATTTAATATCAATGTACTTTTTAGAATGTTAACAACTGCTCAAATTGACTACAAAAAACATTTTCACTGCCTCATACCTGAGACCTTTATAAGTACTCATCAAACGCAAAGTCCTATTCAGTAATAGTACAAGTGTATATTACACTAAAATGGACATTTTTAAAGTTTTACGTACCAATTGCCATAAGTAACAATTCTCTAAATATATACATGTATTCAAATTTCTGGTTCTATGAAATTTTTGAAATTGAAAACATGAGTTATTTTTTTTTGTATGTTAATAACAATAATGTGTAACAACAAAACTTACACTCCAATTTCCAAATTTGAAAATCTTGAGAACTAGTCCAATCAAGGCACCTGAAAAAAAAAAGAAATGAAGTATTTCAATTTAAACTGGTAAAATAAACTTCAGCCATGATTGAACATAATCTCTACATACATGTAGGGATGTTACTGTCATTTCCTTCCCTTGATACATTACACAGGCTTGATTCTGATTAATACATTTAAGATTATTGGTTTTAGCCTCAGGTTATTTATTTCATCTTTTCTCCACAGCTTAAAAATATTGATGTCTTGACACTTGTCACTTTCTGGAAGTGACATAGCTATCAAATCTAGTGGGGAAAATAATTGAGAAAATTTATAATCATTTAAGTAGAAATTTTACTGTAAGTTTCATATTTCATGTCACATGCTTACCAACTAATACAACAGCAATACTTTCCGGCAGGTAGTGGAACTTTGTCTGTAGCAGCATATGTGTCATCAGGATACATATTGCTGAAATCAAAGGAGCCGTGTCACAACAAAACCAACATAATGCGTTTGCGACCAGCATGGATCCAGACCAGCCTGCGCATCCGCGCAGTCTGATCAGGATCCATGCTGTTCGCTTACAAACCGGATAACAAGTAGAAAAACTGATAGCGAACAGCATGGATCCTGATCAGACTGCGCAGATGCGCAGGCTGGTCTGGATCCATGCTGGTCGCAAACCCATTATGTTGGTTTTGTCATGACACTATAGTAATGACACATCCAAGTTAGTTATCTTTTTTATTTTCTTTCTTCAGTATATTTCTTTAAAATTCCGTTTCAATTTCTTCTTGAAAATTAAAGGGTATAAAGCTATATCTTATGATAGATTTACGTAAAATTTATCAGTAAAATTATATTGTTTATATACATGTAATCATAAGGTTGATTAGTGAGAAAGCTGTAACATAGAAAGTCTCTATTATTTGACTCACATAAATATTGTATGTACACAGAATAAAATGTTCCGTAACAAAATATTATGCTGCTATATTAACAGTTTGTCAATGATTTTATTCATGTGACATTCCATTTTAAGGCAATATTTTACCATATTTCTTTCATACAAGCATTTTTGAAGTATTCAGTTCAATTCAAATAATAATTTTTCAGTGTAAATTTAAAGGTTTATTTAAAGAAAACTTTAATTGTTAAAAAAAAAAAACTTTTTTATGTTTGTTCCCATCACTTTATTAATATAGCCATAAAAAAATCATACTCACCTATGACAAGTAGAATAAAGAATATTGTCAAACTGCTTTTATGTTCTTTTTCTGATTCTCCAACATCAGGAAGATCTGGTGGACTATTAGTCGGCTTTAACGTAGGCTTCGGTGTTGTAGTAGTTGTTGTTGTTGTATTGTCACTAAAACCAAATACAACTTTGTTTAATACATGATATCAATTGTCATTACCAATATAAAATGAGCCACTTCATGACAAAACCAACATAATGGGTTTGCGACCAGCATGGATCCATACCAGCCTGCGCATCAGCGCAGTCTGATCAGGATCCATGCTGTTCCCTTACAAACTCTATAACAAGTAGAGAAACCGATAGCGAAAAGCATGGATCCTGATCAGACTGCACAGACTGGTCTGGATCCATGCTGATCGCAAACCCATTAAGTTGGTTTTGTTGTGACACGGCTCAAATTTCTCTTTTATACAGACTAATTACGATATATTTCAGTGACTTCTTTTAGGTCAAAGTCAGGCGGTAACTTTCCTTAAATCTTTAATACTTTGCCCTAATTTATCTGAAAAGTGAAGTCCACTTCACCTAAAATTCCGAAGTAATATATCCTTCATGTACTAAATTGTAAGTATGTGTCCATGTCCATTTTGTTAAACTGTCACAAGCAGGTAGATTGTACGCCTATATGAAGAAATAAGAAATAAAGAAGAAACAGTAAGAAATAGCATTTTTTGAGGAAAATTCTAAGTTCAAGGGGAGATAAATCTGAAAATATTGGTGCTAGAGTTATGAACCTTGTCACATAAGATGGGGATGATGATAAGGTACATATATTTGAAGTATGAGGTTGATCCCTTAAGAAATAAAGAAGTAACAGTAAAACATAGCATTTTTTAAGGAAAATTCTAAGTTCAAGGGGAGATAAATCTGAAAATATTGGTGCTAGAGTTATGAACCTTGTCACATAAGATGTGGTTGATGATAAGGAACATATATTTGAAGTTTGAAGTTGATACCTTAAGAAATGACAAAGTTATAGTGAAAAATATTTTACTGCACCAAAACTTTAATCTAAAATCTGGACGCGGACGCCGACGCGAGTAGGACAGCTCTCCATATACTTCGTATAGTCGAGCTAATAATGATGAGATTTGTAAGTATTTGAATAGTCTTATTCACTATCATATTTTATATTTCCATACCAGGTAATAATGACCATGTTATTTACCATGTTCAATGTGAAATGTGGAAACTGAGAGAGGCTATGGCTAACTAGATTCATGTTAGAATAATTTTACTTAAATTTTCAAGATCAAGGATAAAAATTCAGGAACAAAAATAAAACTGAAACAAAACATATAGGCCTACACAGGCTATTGAACTTGAACAGTGCTGAAAGGTACCTTGCCTGCTGCACAGTAAATGGGCCAATTGTGTTAGCATCTAAGTCAAAAAATAAAATTAAACATACAAGACAATATTTGCTTTTTTTAAGTACCTTAGGGTGTCTATAACAATATTTTTGGAAAGAAAGGATAACTTTTTGGATACCTTTTTCAAAAAATTACATCTCTTGCAGACTGTGCGGGTAGGGGACGGATGTTACAAAGATATACTTAAAGTCTGAATATCTTACAGTTTATAATAACAAGAGCTGTCCGTAAGACAGCGCGCTCGACTTTTTTAGTGCTTGCCTATAATACAAAACATTGACAGTTAAGGGCCATAATTCAAATAATATTCTTTGACAGAATTACCTTCTCCTGGACATGTTTGGGAATCATGATTGTAAACAAGTATTCCAACTTTCAAATTAATATCTCAAACAGTTCAGTCAAAAAGTGGACTGGTACTAAAAACTTAACCAGATTCTAAGTCGGATAAAAGGCCTTAATTTTTAAAACAAATCCTTGACAGAGTTACCTTCTCTTGCGTACAGATGGGGGTAATGATGTTGAAATAGCATTAAAAGTTTCAAAGCAATTTAAAGGGGTTAAAGGCAAAAAAGTGGTTTTCCCCTTTTGTTTTTTGTAAAAAGGGGAAATTCTGTCAAAAATTGCAGAGTTATTTTGTTGTTGTAAAGGTGTGAGGGTAAAAAAGTAGGGTGTTTCAAAAAAATATAAGGGGTTTTGGTGAGGTGGACAAAAATTAAACCCCAAAGCTAAAAATTTTTGTGGGTTTTTAAAAAACCCTTGGGTTTGTTTTGTCTGTGGGGAGGTTTGTGGTGAAAAAAGTATGGTAATTTTCAAAGCCTATTTTAAACTTTCTGTAAAGTGGGGGGTAGAAAAATTTAAACCCAAAGGTGTGACGCCAACGCCAACGCCGACGCCGACGCCGACGCCGACGCCGGGGCGAGTAGGATAGCTCCCCTTTTCATAGAAAAGTCGAGCTAAAAATTGTATTATTTCTCTTTATTTTATCAAAATATTATGTGTTCTGATAAATGTTACAAAAAAAATCCAGAAAATTCATCTTAGATATAAAAATATTTGCTTTCAAATTTTCAGTATTTTTCACACACAATTAAATTTCAAACATGTTAGAAACAGAGAGAAAAAAAACAAGGATAGGTACACCAAATCATACTTAAATCAGATATGCAAAACACATTTCTTTATAAAACAGTAGAAATTATAGGACTTTCTTAAGTATATTTCTTGTCAGATAATCCAAAAATGAATTGTATCAGGGGGATGGATGTTACATTTTTTGGGGGGACGGATGTTACAATCGATGTTTAAAGCTCAATAGTTCATACTTTTTTGGGTTTTATTTTAAAGTAATGAAATTTATAAGAGTATATGCTTTGTACAGTACAATAAATGTAAAATAATTGAACAAATTATGAGAAAATGTAGAAATATACCTGACAATTATGTAGTTTCTTACTATTAGTGTTTCACAAGGAAAAGTTGCAGTGACTTAGTTTTCTTCCATTTATCTTACATTTGAATGAACATTGAAATGTTTGGAATAAAATAAAAATATTGCTAATTAAATAAAAGAATCTTTGTTTCCAGATAATGCATTAACGTTAAAGAGAGAATGTCATACCAACGGTACCTTTCTATACATGAAATTATTTACAAATTACTTTAGTTAAATAATAAGATTTATATTTGTAAAAGATATGATACAGTGTGAAGTAAATAAGAATTTTTCAGATTGAAACATATGCAATCTTGAATTTCTCATTACAAAATACATAAATTATACTCAATTAAAAAAAATTTATTAAAAATTATAAGATTTTAAATTGTTGCAATTAAGTTCTATCTATTTGATGAAATTATAAGTAAATTAATGTGGAATGTTAGCAGCATTATCCAAAGATTTCATTATGATTCAGTATCATAATCTCATTATTTCTAACTTTTAATAATTGTCTTTAATAATTTTTAAAAATTTCAGTGTACATGAACTTCTTAACTTAATGAACTAATTTGTCATTCAATAAAATTTATAGGTGGAAAAATTATTTGCCAAGGGTTTATTTACAGAATAATTTTCACAATTATCCCAACTTTTTCATTACAGGAATCCTTACCATATCCTTAAGTTTCTTTCACTTTATTAACAATAATTAAATGGGTCAAATTGTAAGAAAATGTGCTTGAATTTTTATGGGGGAAAAAATCTAAAAATTTTAATCAGGGTGTTGAATTATATTTCTTTGTTTAATTTTCATTGACTACATATTTAGCCTTTAAATTTTTGAAGTTCAATAAATCCTTTGACTTAATTGATCTTCAACTTTAATACTTAATGACATTCTTGAATAAGATATGGTAGTCCCTCCTACTGTTTTTAAGCATTAATATATATCACCCTTAACTGGCACCCTACTGTTTTGTAATATATCACACTTCCCAATATACAATATACACAGCTTCCCAATATACAGCTCGTTAACTTTTCCAATAAAGTGCCAGCCCCTTCTGTGTGTATAGAGTTAGGATCCATATCCCACTGTTTTATGAGGGGCTGCCTGGGATACATGGTTTGTTAACTATTTAAGGCTAAAGAATTTAATATGTTTTAACAATTGACCAATTTTAATCACAAAGATACTTTCAACATCTCTATCGTTTTTCTATATATCCTGTTATGGATTTTGTGTTTGTTTCTTCTGGGTTTTTTTAATTGTATTTTATTTGTTGTGTGAAACATTCCTATACAGTTACAAAGCTTACTACTTCTCTATCATGCATCATAAGGACAAGATAAGTTTTGTATTACTGTAAAAAGAATTTTTAGTTCAATTCTGTAACATCCGTCCCCTTATGTACTCTTAGTTTGTAAACATAGCATGACAAAAGATTATATTTGTTATAAATTCATATAAGCTTAAATATTATCTTAATAAACTCATTGGTCCACTTGATGTTAAAAAATAACATATAAATTTTATTTCAAAGTAAATAATTTTGATATCAGAGCAAAAAATTACTGATTTTTTTTCAAAATTAAGGAATTTAGTGTTCACAAATACTTTTTTTTTCATAAATACATCATTTCAGTGCTTTATTTCTGTTATTTCTTCATTATTCAATGTAACTTTGGTGTTTTAGTGTATAATTCCCTTTTCAGTTACAGTTTATATGAGATTTAATAAGCACCTTATATAGGGGGACGGATGTTACAGGGACGGATGTTACAGACAACTTTTACATTATTGTATTTTTTTTCTCATAAACATAGAAATTGGCAATTTTTGTAACATTTTCATTGTAAGGCTATCATTAAGCACCAGAAACATTGTTTTTTATGAGTATTGTTTTAAAATTGGATATTTTATGAGAGGGGGACGGATGTTACAGTTTTTTCATCACAAAATTTTTTTTACCACTATAATGCCTATGCCATCCTTAAAAATATATATGTTTGCTATTGCCGACCCAGAGTTATAAGGAGTGGGTCGGTAGGCAGGCTTTTTTTTTTTTTTTTTTTGATATATAATTTTTTACTGAACGTAAGTTAATACGCTTAGTACGTTGTAACAGATTTTGGAAATTTGGGCTACACTATCATCATCGGCAAAACTAACATGTAAAAGACAGTCAAAAACAATAAAAAAACATGTTCACTAGTAATCATAGCATGAAATAAAAAAAATGACTATGTGGACATAAATTCAA